GCTGAGCCGCGGCTCCCGGCGCCCTGTCCTCCCCGTCCCTAAAGGACCCCTGTGCTCGCTTCACCCCAGGGCCCTGCCCCCGAAGGTGCCCGTGGCCTGGGAGCTTAGAGCAGACACGCTTCTGGGGGCCGAGGAGCGGTCAGGGGTCAGACCAAGCCCGGGGGCTGCGCTCTTGTCCAGGCTGCGTCCCGCCTCCCCCAGGCCCACGCGGGCTCAGTGCGTACAGGGAGAAACGTCCACGGGCAGGCGGGGCTGCAGGGGGCGGGCATGACAGAAGGACTCGGCCCCTCCACCTCCAGGGCGAGGCTCCTGCATGTCTGCGCCTCCGGGAGTGTGAAGAGCCACCTTGCATGTGCTAACAACTATCCTGTGTGAGAGCCTCCTCGAGGAAGCGGCCCTGCACCTACCTGGATCCTCACCACCTGAGTGTGGCCCAGCCCGGCCTCGCCCGGACCGCCTGACCCAGGCCGGCATTTTATTAGTTTCTCGCTTCCTCCCCAAACAGAATGTGAGCTCCTAGCCAGAGCCCTGGATTAGACGTCTTCTATACAATGAGACCATCGAGGGTCATCATTATAATGACAATAATGCCGATTCATTGTGCACATGCGCTTACAAGAATAAGTCACTATGTTACACATCATTTATCTCACACACACACACACACCTTGACCACATCATTCATTATAGACACACAATAAACATGTGTGCACTGAGGAGCAGGCATGGGAACCTGTGCTCTCCAAGTTCATCCCTTTTTAAAAATATATATTCTTATTGATTTCAGAGAGGAAGGGAGGAGAGAAACATCAGTGATGAGAATCACTGATCAGCTGCCTCCTGCATGCCCCCTACTGGGGATCGAGCCCACAACCCGGGCATGTGCCCTTAGCCAGAATTGAACCTGGGACCCTTTAGTCCGCAGGCCAACACTCTACCCACTGAGCCAAACCGGCTAGGGCTTACCTGAATATTTTTTAAATTTAATTTTGATTTATCTATAGTATAGTTTCAATATATCTCATTGTTATAACTTTTTCTAGTGACTGTTGTAGGCATTACATTATATTTTCATAACATATCCCAGGCTATTGATTATCAACATTTTACCAGTTCATAGTTAAGTGTAGAAACCTTACCTTCCTCCTCTATGTCCTCTGCCCACCCCTCTTTCTAACATCATCATCTTAAAGATTTCCTCTACAAACAAAGAGAACCACGTCAGACAGTTATGCTTCAACTGCAAAAGGGTGTCTATTGAATTTACCAATGTTTGTTCTTTCTATTGTTAATTCTTCCTTCCTGGTGTTCCCACATCCCTTATGTCATTTTTCCGTTTAAAGAACTTCCGCTATCTTTTATTTTAGGGTAGGCCTGCTGGGCACAAATCATGTGAAGGATGTTTTCCCTTAATATATTATTCTGAGTTGGCAGTTATTTTCCTTAAGCACTTCCTTCTGTCATCCATAGTTTCTAATGAGAAACCACTGTAATTCAAATTGTTTTTCTACTATAGGTAAAGTGACATATTTCCCTCTCACTGCTTTTTTTGTCTTTAGTTTTCAGAAGTTTGACTATGATTGTCTTAGCATGGATTTCTTTTAGGTGATTCTGCCTGGGTACCACTAAGCTTCTTGAAACTGTGTTTATGGCTCGACAAAGTAGGCAACATTCAGCCGGTATTTCTTCAACTATATTTTGAGCCCCACTGAGTCTCCTCTTTCTGGGATTCTGATAACAAGAATGATAGATAGGTCTTTTGTTAAAGCCCTACAGGTCCTGAAGTTATTTTTTCCAGCCTATTTTCTCTCTGTTATTCAGCTTGGGTAATTTCTAATGTCTTCAAGTTCACTGAATCTTTCCTCTGCCTTTTCCATTCTGTTATTGAGCCATCCACTGGTTTCATTGATCTATTTCTCAGTTCTGAAATTTCCATGTTTTTTCTTTATATCCTGTATTTTCTTCCTGAGATTTTCTATTTTTGCTTCAAGTGCTTGTAATTAATCATTAAAATATTTTTATGACTGCTTTAATATCCTTGTCAAATAATTCTAACATCTGTCATCACTGTCGTGCTGTCAGGTGACCTCTCATTCTCAAGTGAGGATTTTCCTGATTCTTCGTGTGACATGTGATTTTTTTAAAAATATATTTTATTGAATTTTTACAGAGAGGAAGGGACAGTGATAGTTAGAAACATCAATGAGAGAGAAACATCGATCAACTGCCTCCTGCACACTCCCTACTGGGTATGTGCCCGCAACCAAGGTACATGCCCTTCGCCGGAATCGAACCTGGGACCCCTAAGACCGCAGGCCGATGCTCTATTCTCTGAGCCAACCCGGTTAGGGCTGACATGTGATTTTTAATTGAAACCCAACATTTTGGGTATTATGTTATCAGACTTCAGATCTGACTTAAGTCTTATGGCAGGTCTCTCTGCTGGCACTGCAAGAAGCAAGATGGGCACTACCTTGTTTCTGCCAGGTGCATATTGAAGGTGGAAGGAAACTGGGGCTCCCCACTCAGACTCCATTGACCCTACTGGGTAAGAGTTCAGCCTCTCTCGTGGCCTTTGCTCATATCACCCTGGCTAGACAAGGGGTTCCTAGTCACTGCATCTTATATGGCCTCATTACCACTGAGTGTGGTGAAATTCCTGACTATTAAGATTCCTCTGACGCCACCCCAGCAGGAAGAGGGGTGGATGTGCTTTGTTACCACCCTGCAGATGAGACTCCCAGCCCACTCACCAGGCCTTCTCTGATACCACCCAGCAGAGTGTCACCTCAATGTAATTGTTGAGGGTAAAAATCTAGTTTCCCCATCTGGCTTTTGCCAGCCAAGAGTGAGGGGTGGAGGTTCCAGTTCTCTTAAAGTGTTCTGTCTGGCCCTGACTGGTTTGGCTCAGTGGATGGAGCGTCAGCCTGCGGACTGAAGGGTCCCAGGTTCGATTCCAGTCAAGGGCATGTACCTTGGTTGCGGGCACATCCCCAGTGGGGTGAGTCCAAGAGGCAGCTGATCGATGTTTCTCTCTCATCGATGTTTCTAACTATCCCTCTCCCTTCCTCTCTGTAAAAAAATCAATAAAATATATTTTTTTAAAAAGTGTTCTGTCTGGTGGGCTCTCCCTCTCCTGGTCTTTTAGCTAGAAAGCAGACTTTTTCTGGGGACTTTGAACCCTTTGGTGTTGCTAGGTTGTTGGCTTTTCCAGCCTCAGTCTGGGAAATGTAGGCAAAAAAAAGAAAAAGAAAAATCCAGGGAACTAAGTTCTGTGTCATTTCTCAGGTCCAAATACACCCAGTCAGTCTACTTCCTTATCTCCACCTTTTAGTCTTATATTTGTTTTATCTCTAATGTTCAGTGTTTTTAGCTTAGGGGAGGAACAGGAACAGTACATATGCTCCATCCTTCCATTAGTTCAAAGCCAGATCACCTTTTGTGTCTCACATTGTATGTATAGGCCTTGTAAAATGGCAACAAGTCTCACTTCACAACACAGGCAGACATTCAAATTGATCAATTCTGAATGTTTAGGTTTAATATTTTGAAAGTCATTAATTTGTTAAAATTTTCTGTAGCATTATGTAGACAAAATGTAACTCAGCCCTGGTCCGTGTGGCTCAGTTGAGCATTATCCTGTACACCAAAAGGTCACCAGTTTGATTCCCAGCCAAGGTATATAACCCAGGTTTTGGGTTTAATCCCAAGGCAGGGTTCATGCAGGAGGCAACCAATCGATGTTTCTCTCTCACATCGATGTTTCTCTCTCTCCCTCTCACTTCCTCTCTCTCTAAAAGTCAATAAAAATATATTTTTTTAATGTAGCAATCTTTAATATATTTTATTGATTTTTTGCAGAGAGGAAGGGAGAGGGATAGAGAGTTAGAAACATTGATGAGAAACATCGATCAGCTGCCTCCTGCACACCCCCTATTGGGGATGTGCCCACAACCAAGGTACATGCCCTTGACCGGAATCAAACCTGGGACCTTTAAGTCCGCAGGCCGACGCTCTATCCACTGAGCCGAACTGGTTAGGACTAATGTAGCAATCTTTAATACATCACATCTTATTTCACCGTGAATTTTGGCTCTTCATTGAATAACATTCTGCTTCCCTTAGAAGTATCAGTCAATGTGTTATCAGCATAATTAGCTATTTATTAATAAAGGACCTATTATCGGTGGAACTAGAGTTCTTAGGGTGCTGCAAGGAAAAGAATTTCCTGAGGCTCCCATGAAAGGATGGGGTTTCGTGGAAAGCTTTATTTTTTTTTAAATATATATTTTATTGATTTTTTACAGAGAGGAAGGAAGAGGGATAGACAGTTAGAAACATCGATGAGAGAGAAACATTGATCAGCTGCCTCCTGCACACCCCCTACTGGGAATGTGCCCGCAACCAAGGTACATGCCCTTGACCGGAATCGAACCCGGGACCCTTCAGTCCGCAGGCCGACGCTCTATCCACTGAGCCAAACCATTACGGCGAAAGCTTTATTGATGATGTAAAATTACAGGAGTTCCTCTTCAAGGTCCCATCTCTGTCTACCCTGCCATGGAAAAGTCCAATCTTGTCTTCAGCAGGGCCAGAATAGGCCACTGCCCAGCATTTCTGCTCCATATTCAAGTCCAGTCCAGTTCAGCATCTGGCTAGCTTAGCCTGTGTTCCCAGCTGCAGTCCATCACGTGTGGTATCTGCATGGCCCATGGCCATGCGGTTGCTTAAGGTCACATGGAGAGAGAACAGGCCAGCGCATAGGTAAGTGTGGGTCACAAAGCAAGTAGGAATAAGAGAATAAGAGCCAGGAAACAAGAACAAACAAGAGGGAACTCTTTGGGGATTTTAACTTTCCAAGATTTCACGCACTTCTGATGGGGTCCACCCACTAGTTAATCCACTGTTCCCCAAGCCAGACTGACAGGCCAGCACCTTCCCTATGTCACCTGGACTTCACTGCGCATGCACCCATCTTGCTTTTCCCACCAACAATCCAGTAGTGGATGGGGGAAGGGAGAGATGTTAATTCCCTTGGAGGGACAATGCTCTGATTCCTTGGGGTGTAAAGCTGTTAGCTTCCTGGTAGCACAAACAGGCCTCTGCTTCCCAGCTAAATATGCTCAACAATGTCTGACTCTCCCTTTGCTCACTTATTTTATTAATATTATTAACTAATTATACCAATAACAAATTGAAGTATACATTTTGTCACTTCAAATATTTAATGGAATGCATGTAAATAATTCAGTTAAGTTAAACACTTCACTCAGAATGAAATCCATAAAGCCCCAGCTTAAATATTAACTCCTCGAAAAGGTTTCCTTTAACCACCACTCGTCTTAGTGCTTCATGACCCTTACCCACATTTGTACTAAAATCTTATTTGTGGTTTTCTTAGTCAATGAATGCTTCCCCCCTACACCTTCAACACCATGAGGTCTGGAGTGTGGCTATTTGGGTTCACTACTGTATTTGTAGAGCCTACCATGTTGCCTGACAAAAACATCCTCAAACAATTGACGAATGTACAAGTGAATGAATGAATGAATGCATCTACCACTGATTAGCTGTGTAGTAACCTTTGTCAAGTAACTTGACCACCTTCCTAAGGCTTAGTTTTGTCATCTTTAAAGCAGGGATAATAACAGCACTTATTTCATTAAAGTCATTCATCAAATATTTGTTGTATATCATCTAGGTACTAGAATACAGTAGTGAACAAAACAAACTTGGTTCCTACCTTCAAGATGCATAGAGTTAGATTTTAAGCCAGATATTAAACATAAGATCTCATAATTTATTACAGCAATTATAAATCATGATGCATACTATGAAAGAAATATATAGATATTATGAGACCAGAATATTAGCTAAAGTTAGGAAGATCATTCTAAGAAACTCATTTAAATTGAGACTGAAGAATTAGTAAAAATTAACCATGTGGAAAATAGAGAGGGACAGGAACAGTGCATGCAAATGCCCTGAGCTGGGAATAAGATTGGTTTATCAGAGATACTGAAAATAGGTAATGTGGCTACAACATAGTGAAAAAAGGAGAAAATGGTGGTGCAAGATAGGCTGGAGATACAGGCTTAGATTGTCCTATACATCAAAATTTTATCCTAAAATAAAAAGGACGGCACTTAAAGGTTTTAAGCCGTTGACACTAGATTTGCATTAAAAATCAGTCTGGCCCTGACCAGTTTGGCTCAGTGGATATAGCGTCAGCCTGCGGACTGAAGGGTCCCAGGTTCGAGTCTGGTCAAGGGCGTGTACCTTGGCTGTGGGCACGTCCCCAGTGAGGGGTGTGCAGGAGGCAGCTGATCAATGTTTCTCTCTCATCGATGTTTCTAACTCTCTAACCCTCTCCCTTCCTCTCTGTAAAAAATCAGTAAAATATATTTTTTTAAAAATCAGTCTGGCTGCTGTGTGAAAAATACACGAAAATAACAGATGACTAGGAATGGGGAAGCTAGTCAGGAAGTTACTGAAGTAGTCTAGGCGATAAAATAATGACAGTTAAGATTAGAGAGTAGATAAACAGATTTGGGGAGTGGAGGAGCAAGTGAGGAAGGAAAGAGGTTATCAAAGAGTTTCCTAGTTTCAGAGGAAAGAGGTAGGTGAAATGGAGGCCAGAACACTGATATGAGACAGCAGATTTGGAGAAGTAATAAAGAACTAATTATTGAACGTTTTATATTTGCAATGCCGTTGAATATCTAAAATACAAGAAGGCATGTGTAATTAGACTGTATTTACAAAATCTGGCAGAGGTCTGGGCATTTTGACCCCATCATGACTCTAGATCCAATGCTTTGCCATATTACTTTCCTTGCAAGAAGGAAAGTTTATAATTCAGATTACTGGTGAAATAAGCATCACAAAATAAAACTGATGATCCCTTAAATGACATATGGAAACATTATTTTTGACTGAAATATGACAGGACAAATCTTTTGATGTAATTTAGATATGAAAATTTTGAGTTATAGAAATTAGAGATGGTTGAAATAAAGGGATAAAGAAAAACTCATGCCTGGCTGGTGTCACTCAATGGTTGAGCATTGACCTATGAACCAGGAGGTCATGATTCAATTCACAATCATAGCATATGCCCTGGTTGCAGGCTCAATCCCCAGTAAGGGGTGTGCAGGAGGCACCCAATCGATGGTTCTCTCTCATCATTGATGTTTCTCTCTCTCTCCCCCTCTCCCTCTGAAAACAATAAAAATATACTTTAAAAAAAGAAAAATTCACAATGGCAGAATCTTTAATAGGTGGGATTTTATTTAGAAAACAAAGGTTCTATTGATATTAAATTAAACAAATTTGAATATAATCTATATATATAAAAGGCTAATATGCTAAGTGTCCAACCATCCAAACAGTCGCTATGATGCGTACTAACCACCAGGGGGCAGACACTCAAAGAAGGAGCTGCTGAGCTGCAAGTGACTTGGCAGTGGCGGCTCTCAGATGACACGCCCCAAAACCAGAGAGCAGGGAGCCCGATTCCTCACAGGGCTGTGCGATTCCACCTTCAGCCTTCGGTTATTTGTTGCTGGAACACTGTTGGCCCTGAATCTGGTTTACTGCCCACTTGTGTTTGTGTTCTACACACTGTACAACAGCAACTTTGCAGAGTGCCCTCTTCCACTCTGGGACCCCTGGGGGAATATTGGAGAGCCGGTTTTGCCCGATCCCCGCAGGCCAGGCTGAGGGACCCCACCTGCCGGAGGGACCCCACTCACTCCGCAGACGCTGGAGAGAGACCACAGGAGGTTGGCTCCAGGGGATGTCTAGCCCATTTTGCCCAGTCCTGCTCCGTCAGCCACCTTCATATAAATTTCCTTTCAATATGCACTAATCTGTGCACCGGATCACTTCTAAATCTATGTTATGAAATAATTCACATGATCCCCCCATTGAACTATAGCTTAGTGTTTTTTAATGGAAACATTTAGAAACTATTTAACTGTGCCATATACAAGAAGTGGCCAAGAAACCAAACTAATTTAATGGAATCTTCTCCAGAAATTATGTTCTTCATGAAAATACAGGAAGGTGAATATAATTCTCTTTACCAGTGTTACACATATTAATAACTTCATAAAGCATATCAGTTTCCAAAATCATTAACAGCAACTTACCAGTTACCTTGCAGTTTATAAGGTGTTTTGAAAAGAAATAAAAAAATCAAAACCCTGTGGAAGCTATCCTGGCTTAGACCTCACAGAAAAAAAGGAGACTTTAGCCCTAGCCGGTTTGGCTCACTGGATAGAGCATCGGCCTGCGGACTGAAGGGTCCCGGGTTCGATTCCGGTCAAGGGCATGTACCTTGGTTGCGGGCACATCCCCAATGGGGGGTGTGCAGGAGGCAGCTGATCGATGCTTCTCTCTCATCGATGTTTCTAACTCTCTATCCCTGTCCCTTCCTCTCTGTAAAAAATCAATAAAATATATTTGGGGGAAAAAAAAAGAGACTTTATCTTTGGACATTTAAATCAAAAAAATAAAACAGTAAAGGGTTTCTCCTTCCTCTCTCAAGAACAATAACTGAAGCATTCTGTTAAGTATAAACTGTGAGGTTAATGCACTACCAAGTGTCTATCACTGGTTTTACAATGTGCAAAAATTTCAGTAATAACCTTCTTTTCACCTCACAGTGCTTTTCTCCTAATAGCACACCTCAGCCACTGTACCTTCAGTAGGAAATTAGCATTCTTCTTCTTCACAATTAATTTTAAAACCCTCACCTTCTGTCTTTCACTGAGAGCTTTTAACCCCTCACTCATCTCCATGAGCCACATGGTGTTCTGCGCTTTGCCTACTTTTATTTGTCACTTCACTAAACAGTCCATACACTGGCAATCTTTCCCCACTGATCAACTTCCAACCATACATTCAAACTATTGTAAATTATAAATCTGGAAGAAGTTCAGTTCTCTGAAATCTGGCATCAAATGGAGCTTTTCCATACTAAGTGATTTTATTTTTCTGTAACTTTCTAAAGTCTGTGCAGTCTCAGATGTGAGTTCATGTGCCTATGCTGTACATTGAATATTAACACTAAATTCTCCAGAAAATTCAGGTTCTGCCTCTTCCTCGAATTTCTTCAGCTATAGTTAACCATCCTTCCAAAACTAAGTCTGTAGGTTCCTCTCGTTTTAACCTCTTTTAAATTTCTTTTTTCTGTTGTTAATCTGTGACATTTTTTTCCCTCAAACTCTTTTTTTTTTTTACTCATCTCTTCATTCACATCCCACCTTTTCCCAGCAGGCATCACTGGTCCCAGCAGCACTTCCTTCCTTTCACAGCAGACCCGGCATGGAAAATAGGCTATTGGCCCAGGAGCTAAAGTATCTATTGTCTTCACCTCAGACAATGGGTCAGGGTTAGTTTAAATTCTATTTAACATCTGATAACGAGTTTAGAGCGAGGAAGGAAGCATACTTAACAAAGACGTCCTGAGTCGAGGTCTTTGCAGGGTCCTATTATAACATAACCTTCTCAATAACAAAACGAGGCTAGGAATGGAGGCTGAGGAAGTTCCTTGCCTAAGGTGCCATTGCTATTGTTAAATGTGGCCAGGGTCCACGGCCCTCCTGTTTCCCTGGGCAGTGCTAACAGAAATGAGGGGTGCCGGTCACTGCGTTACTCCACCTCCGTCGGAATTCCCAAGGGATGGGCTCACCAGCCGTTGACCCGGGGGTGCCCTCGCCTCGACAGCGAAGGGAGCGTGCAGAAGGTGCCCAGAGGAGATTTGGGGTGTGCGACTACCTGGGGGATTTGCTTATTCGCAAGTGGGTTATTTCGGGGGCACCTCTAAGGTCAAACGTGCAGACCAGCACACTGGACTTAAAATTTTGACAGCCGTTTACAACTAAATTACGGAAACTTCCAAACCAGCAGCGCTCTCTCCCGTCGGCAGAGCTTCCCAGGGCAGGGCCGAGGGGCGCTATGGGGGAGCCGGCTCTCCAGGCCTCAACGCACCTGCCCATGCCACGCGTGCAGCGGGGAGCGGGGGGGACGCGCGGGAACGGATGGGGGCAATGAAGTCCGAGGGAGAACTTCGAGAGCGCCGAGTGACCGGGCCCCCACAAGCATGCCTCTACCCCAGGGCGAAGCCGCAGACTGCTTCACCGGGGCAGCCCGTCCCGGAAGAAAAATTGCGGCCCGGCTGCGGGCAGACGTTGCGAGTGAGGCTGGTTGCTGCTCGGAGCCCGGCGGAGATGCTATTAATATTTCAGCTTATCTGCAGAAGGTGACTCAGCCAGCGTCCTTTCTGAAGTATCCGTTCACCATTGGCTCGCTGGAGAAACGAAATCAGCTGCTCACTGCGAAAGGCTTTCTGGCTTTGAGCCAGGCTGGGAAATCTGCATAGCAGATGAGTTCAGCTCCCACTGGGCGTGAAAAGCTCGCCGCAGTGAATCAAAAGCATGAAAGCATTGCTCTCCTATCTGGGTCACCTTTCTTGCTCCTTCCTTTAAAAACTAAAGCTCAGCATTCGAATTCAAGAAGCACTAATATGATTCTTAGACAAGAAACAAATTTAACATATTTGGTGATCCAAATAACCAAAAAGTATGTAGAATTAAACCCTTAAGTGATGTCTGTATTAAGTATAATAAAATACTTAAGCTTATCGCTGGAAACAATTATGGGAGATGAACCAAGGCCTTCACACTCTTGGAGGTTGTAGAAAACATTCAAGTGACAGTTTTTAAAATATATATATTTTATTGGTATTTTTCAAGTGACAGTTTTGTCACCTAATGTGCACAAGGACTTCTGCTGGGCATGGTCACTGATGAAAAGCTTTATGA